AAAAGGACAAAAACAATAAATAAAAGGGCAAAAAAATAATGATATAAAAAACAGAGAAATACCAAAGAGGGCTAATTGGGCCAAAGTTAATCCTTTGCCATAACTAGTGAAATAAACTTTTGGCAAGAAAAAAGAAGTTAGGCATAAATAATTTTCATGAGAAAAGGGAACACAGGGGCAGCGCCTGCGGCTCAAAGGAATAGAGTGCCGGCCCCATACGCCGGAGGTGGCGGGTTCAAACCCAGCCCTGGCCAAAAACTCCAAAAAAAAAAAAAAAAAGAAAGAAAAGAAAAGGGAACACAGCTACAGAAAAAGTAGAAATCAAAAAAAGGATTACTAGCACTTCGGGAGGCTGATGCAAGAGGATTGCTTGAACCTAAGAGTTTGAGGCTGCTGTGAGCTATGATGATACCATGGCATTCTACCCAGAGCAACAGTGTAAGACTCTGTCTCAAAAAAAAAAAAAAGAATTAAAACAATACCATAAACTTGACTCCAAATAAACTTAAAATTTTTGCAAATTTCTAAAACTCACCCAAACTGACTAAAAGAAATAGAAAACCTAAACAGGGCTATGACTATTCAACTGCTTGCTAATCTCTAACAAACTTGCACAAAGAAAACATTAGATACAAATGATATTCTGGGTAAATTCCACATCAATCCAAACTCTGCCAGGAAACAGAAAAAGAGGAACTACTCTCTAAGTCACAGTATAAGGTCAGTATAACCTTAATACAAAACTCAAAGTAGTCAACAAAGGAAAAAGTACCAGATAATTCTACTTGTAAACAAATATAATAATCTAAATAAAACAAACTCAAACTAGTAGTTCATAAAAGATAATTTAAGACCAATTTGGGTTTATCTCAAGAAAGACTATAAAAGAGACTGAAAAATTCTAAAATCTATAAATTGGAGTTCACTGAATTTAGCTGATTAAAGGAGAAAAACCACAAGATATTCTCAACAGATACAGAAAAGCATGTGACAAAATCAAAAACAAGGCTTGGCGCCTGTGGCTCAAGTGGCTAAGGCGCCAGTCACATACACCTAAGGTGGTGGATTCGAATCCAGTCCAACAATGACGGCTGCAACCAAAAAATAGCCAGGCACTGTGGTGGTCGCCTGTGGTCCCAGCTACTTGGGAGGCGGAGGCAGGAGACTTGCTTGAGCCCAGGAGTTGGAGGTTGCTGTGAGCTGTGATGCCATGGCACTCTACCCAGGGGGACAGCTTGAGGCTCTTCTCAAAAAAAAAAAAAAAAAAAAAAAAAATCAAAAACAAAGACTTCTCTAACTTACAAAGTTATCTACAAAAATTCATAGCAAATGCTATTTTTAATTGGGAAAACATTCTATTTAAAATTAGGAATAAGACCTGTGTGTCCTCTATATTCACTTCTAGTGAACAGCCTATCACTTCCATGACCATGTGAGTCAGTACATGAAGACAAGAAAAATAAA